GTCATTGTGTGTATTCCCCTTCCCCAAAAGTTGTAAGCCGCCCTGAGTCCCCTCAGGGAAAAGGGCGGCCTATAAATAAACTTATCTATATCTATCTATTTATATCTATCTATATTTGTAACAGTAAAAGTGAAAAATATGAATGTTACCAATACAAAAACAGCCATGTTTTTTAGAAATAGATTTAACATTTCATGTAAATGCCATTTTTACTTTTGCTTCCATAGGTGTAAATGGAATTTTAAATGTTTACCCTAATATTAATATTTATTATATTACTTATATAATATATTAAGTTATTATTATCAGTAGTCCTCATCCTACAACTATAATTTAACAACGAACTACTGCCATGAGTCATGCTGAACATTAAGCAGGTTATCATGTGACCAACTTCCTTTTACAATTTTTTAAATGCAGCAATTTTTTTAGTAAATGTGTTAGTTGTAAAGTGAATGCAGCTATCATTAAGCAAATGCCATTGTCATTAAATGAACCCACTGTCTACAATGGGTAATTTTTTCATGGAAAACAGAAATAAACATCCAGCAACATTCAGTTTTCAGCAAAAAAAAAAAAAAGTAATACACTTTTGCCTTGTGACTGTGGAACACTGTAAATGTCTATAAGTATGAGCTCATTGCCAAATGTCCAAAATGTGATCACATGGCTGTGGGAGGGAGACAGCCATAGAAACATTAAGTCATAATTACCTTTTCATGGGCCTCTCATAACTTTGAACAGCGACTAAGCGACAGAGTGTCAAGGTCTCGCTGTAACTTACAGTGTTGTGGTACATATCTATAAGCAAGGTCATTTGAAAAGTCTTGCTTCCTTGAATGGTATCTCCAAAGCAGCCACCAAGATTCTGAAAGTCTTGGGCACTTCCTTTTTTTTTTAATCAGCCCCTCTCTCCTGGGTATAATAAGAACTAGCATGGCAGGTACAAACTTGGCTGTCTTAACTATCATTAATATAAAAATATTGAGAAGTCTATTAGATCACAAAGAATAGATAAGGATGCATATAACCAAGGCAAAGATGATAACTTTTATTATTGCTTATATTCTTTCCCAAAAAAAGTGGACAGTTTAATTTTATTAATAGATAATTACTTAATAAGTTCTACATAACTAAAAAGTTATATTATGTCATGATTGATGATTATACGTTGGTTGTTTCTATTCTTTTGTTTAATTAATCCTCCCTTGATTGATTGATTGATTGATTAATCAATTAACCAAGGGATTATTTAATCCCTTCTTATCCTTCTAGTGCTTCCAAGTATTTGGCTTCGTAGAAGAGGAGAAGAAAAACTGGAGCGCTGCACGTGATCACTGCAGAAACCTAGGAGGAAACCTGGCTAGTATACCAAACAAAGCTGTTCAAGGTACAATCACTTCTCTAAACCATACTGACTATTAACATTTCTTTTAAAATCCAGCTCTTACTTTAATGATAAGAATTT